CGCCCCCATGGCGGCGCCGCGGGTGGAGGTGGACGGCGGCATCATGGAAGGGGTGAGTGCGGGGCCGGGGGCCTGGCGAGTCGCGGCTGCCGCCCGGCTGGCGCACAGGGCTTTCCCGTCTGATGTGCTCTCTCGTCTCTCCGCACCAGGGCGGGCAGATCCTGAGGGTGTCTACGGCCCTGAGCTGTCTGCTGGGCCTCCCCTTGCGGGTGCAGAAGATCCGAGCCGGCCGCAGCACACCTGGCCTCAGGTAAGTCGGGGGGCTGGAGGGTGGGGGCGCGGGGCTGGGGACCGGGGCACAGGGGTACAGCTGTGGGACTGGAAGGTGGGGGCCTGGCTGCGAGGTTTGGGACCTGGCGGGGGAGGCGGGCCGGGGGTGTTGGAGGGGTAGCGGGGGCCGGGAAATCTGGAGCCCGGCGGTGATGCTGAGAACATCCCAGCCCCATGGTTGAGGACTCTGCAGCCGGGCCGCAGGGGCCCGGGGCCAGTGCTCCGGCCTGGGCGGTTATGTTGTGCAGTCTTGAAAGCCTCGAAAGGGGCAACAGAAAATAGGCCCATGTTTAACTATTTGGCTAGAATTATCTTTCCTCATGAGTTATCTTTTGAAATGTTTCCGCACCGCATTAGGCATTCCAAGTACCCAGAGAGCTCGAAGCAGCAGGCAAGATACATCAGGGCAGAGCAACCTCTCCGGACAGAGAAAACCCCACTTTTAAACCAGTGCATTCTCAGCTGTCGCACATTTCAGCCTCATTAGAACAGGAAAGGCCCCTGAGATGTGTTATTCCAGCTGTCATTCAGATATATAGGAAGCTGACCAGAATTACCAGTTGTGGAGAGGAAAAACGTTGACACTTGACTTTGTTTCTTCTGTCTGGGAAGCTAGGTATGCCACCAGATAGGTGTCAGGTATATGCACCTGTTAGAAGAGGACCCAGGTTGAAGCCAGACTGATTCCTTTGTATGTATTTTATATATATTTCATCCTAATACGTCAGCTAACTTTTAGTCTTTTATCCACACTCCATTTTGAAATTATTAAAAGGCTGTTACTGGTATGTGGGAACGTTAATTCCCTTTGTCACAGCGGTAGTTTGCAGCAGTCCGTTTCACCAGTAGGGAACTGAATTCATTAAGGCTGTGTTAGGTGCCTTACTAGTTTGCTAGGGCTGCTATAACAAAATGCCGCAGACTAGGTGGCCTAAACAACAGAGATTTATTTTCTCACATGTCTGGAGGCTGGAAGTCCAAGATCAAGATGCTGACAGGGCTGGTTTCCTCTGATGGCCATAGGGAAGGTTCTGTTCTAGGCTTCTCTCCTTGGCTTGGAGATAGCCACCCACCTTGTGCCTCTTCTCATGGTCATCCCTCTGTGCATGTGCACCCCTGGTCTCTCTCTCTCTGTGTTCTAATCTCTTCTTTTTGTAAGGGCCCCAGTGAGAATGGGTTAGGACTCTTTTTACACAATTCAGCCCTTAACAGGTACCGAAGATTATTCAATGAAGTGCAAGCGAGACTGGTGGCACTTATGTAGTTTTATTAGTTTTCCTCTTTTGCACACTTCTAATTTGCAACAATATATCAGTGTATGTGTTTATAGCCAAAATAACTGCTCTGGAAGGACCCCTTAAAAGGATGCCTACTAGCAGGTAGCCTTGGTGCATAAAAACCCAAAATGAAGCTGACACTGAAGATATATAGCACTGACTGTGGTTAGACCTTGCTGTTTTCTTGCCATTTTAGTTTTTTTAAATGAGTCATCAAATGTGGGGATATAGGCAGTCTGAATGCACACGTTTTGATGCAGTATTATGACCTGAAGGCCTCAACATTTATCTGGACTGGAAATGATCCGAGATTTGTGCGATGGGCAACTGGAGGGGGCGGAAATCGGCTCAACAGAAATCATGTTTACACCTGAGAAGATCAAAGGTGGAATCCACACAGCAGATACCAAGACAGCAGGGTATGTGTCACTCATATTCTACTTAGGCATGGGTTCTGGAGTCAGACCTGGATGCAAATACAGGTACTGCCGCTTAGTGGACAAGTTGTTTAACCTCTTTGAGCTCTAGTTTCCTCACTTTTAAAATGGAGCTGAAACATTTATCTTTCCGGGTGAGAGACTATGTAAAGTTTCTGGTGCCTAATTGCTTATTAACTGTAGCAATTCTCTCCTAGGTATAGTATAGCCTATTTGTTTCTTTACTTTTTATTGTTTAGAAAATGAATATCTGGGAACGACTGTTTTCATGCTCTGTAGTGACAGTAGTCTTTGTGTCGTAGCATATGTAGTTCTTGGCTTACAGCTAATTATGAACAGAATTCTACTTTTAGTCTAGGTATTTTTGCCATCTTTTAATAGATACTTATGCAACTCTATAAATTTCTGGATGTGATCTTGGTCCCCCCCCCCCACTGGAAATGGATATTTAACAATTAAATTGACACTTTATCCTTTTCCAGGAATCTCTCCTTTTATTGACAAAACATGGAGAGAAGTTTTTGTGTTTTCTATATTATTGGTTGATTACCAGAGTCCTATCCATTTACCAGGAAATTTGATAGAATAAGAAACAGTACTGTAAACCTGATGCCAGTTTGTTTCAGAAATTATTATTTTAATAGATTATGATTTTTTTAGTTTAAGAAAATGTTTAGTGCTAATTGAGATTTAAGTTACGATGTGAATAGACCTCCAAGAAAAGAGATTTGCTGCTAGGCCCAAGGTGATGTTTGCTAAGGGAACTAGAGAATTTTGAGGTATCTCAGGCATTCTCCTGTACAAAAAGGGGGGGAAGTTACAATTAACCAACTATCTACAAATTAACTAACATTCTAAAAAATAGAATTTTGAAGCTACAGGAGAGAAAATAGAAACCATGTATTCCGACCCTTCCTCCATTTTGTGAATGAGAGAATGAAGCCCTTTTGGTGTTACGTGCTTTGTCCGAGGTCATAGAGTCAGGACGAGAAGTCGAATTAGACACCAGGCCTTCTGGCTTCTAATCCCCTAGAATGTCTGGGAAATGAGTTTAAAATTGATAATCCAGCTCCATTCAGGAGTGTAAAATAAGCTTGTTCCTAGCAAGAAAACACGTCTTTCTTACTCACATTGTAACTTTTTCATCCCTAAGTGGAATTACAGCACCATGTGTTTTTCTCAGGTGTCTACCTTTGTCTTTGCAACTCCTTACTCTAAAGTTAAGGTTTTTCTTTACTATTCTTGGAATCTGATTTTTATCCAGTGGAAAAGAAACACTTAACTATGTTGGGTTCCTCAGAGGGAATAAACAGAAGTTTAGTAGTTATCAACCTATGGTTTGTAGTAAACTAAACATTTCCATGTCTTTTTCACTTACTCCTAGGTGCAACCCCTTGCCAATAGGAATTATATTGCATACATTTTCTCTTACAATGCCTAACACACGGTCACTAAATATTTACTGAGTTAGTGAAATGCATTATCAGTGCTAGAGGCTGTCTAATTCAGTGCACACGCACCATTGCCGTAAGTAAAGGCTATCTTTTGGTATGTAGAGGCTACACTGAACTCCCTTTCAAACTACAATCTACGTATTAACATGATTGCTTCTCCTTCACTTTGGATAAGAAGGGAGATAGCAACTCATTTAGGAAATCTCACCATTTTGTTTTATAAAATGCTACATAGTCTATAATTATTTCTTGTGATTTCTCACGTTTGACTATAAGGACCAAACAGAGGTGAGTTATGCAAGGATTATTTCCTTGAAGGTTATTTTCCATGTAAATATTTAGCTATCAGTCTTTGTAAAATATTACTCTGTCATATCACAAATTCCATGATGGTAGAAACTTTAGCTTGGTATCTGGAACCATGCCTTGTGCATGGTGGTGACTCAGATATAATCATTAGAATATTTCTAGACCTTGATGGTTTTGAATGCATTTTCATAAACTGTTAATTTCAAGAGTCCTTTTATAAAAACCTTATACAGATACTTCTGGTTGGTTTGTTTGTTTATTTATTTATTTATTTATTTATTTATTTATTTATTTATTTATTTATTTATTGCTTCTTTGTAATACAAAGAAAAGTGTTAGAACTTACCTAAGATCACCCAGCTAATGTATTTAGTATTGGATTCAAACCCAGATTTGCTTATCATTTAAGGTCAGTTCCTTCTACTGTGAAATATTATCTTTCTTTAGGATCCGTGATGTTATTATTCAGTCACTGGAGTGTTTTTTAACTTTTAACTTGAGAGCATGTACCTGCCTTCCCAGTCATCTGTGCTTCGGCTAATTGTGATGTGTAATCATGTCTCTTTCTTGAGACTTTAAAAAGAAAATGCAGCTAAGCTATCCTGCCTTCTCTTTAGGAGTGTGTGCCTCTTGATGCAGGTCTCAATGCCCTGTGTCCTTTTTGCTGCTTCTCCGTCAGAACTTCATTTGAAAGGTGGAACTAATGCTGAAATGGCACCACAGATAGATTACACGGCCATGGTAAGGGCTTTTGTTGCTGTTGACAAACTAAGATGACCTCATATCTTCTTCTGGACCTCCATTCTCTGTATAAATGTATCTTGAGTGTTTTTGTATACGTACCTGTGTATTACTTCATGGTGTCTGGTTCTATTGTGGAAGAGGTTAAGGGGTTATGTTTACTTTAGATTGTGTGTTGTATCTTAGAACAGTGTTTATCATGAATTCTTTAAAACCCTCAAGTTATTTATCATATACATTATATTACTTATTATATAAGTCTGTTAGTTTCTAAATAAATGGATTATGATTTGGAAGAAAAAACTCAAAATAAGAATTAAATACTATGTTGACAAGATTGGTGAGGGTGTGAAGAAATTGTAACCCTTGTACACTGTTGATGGGGATGCAAAATGGTGCAACTACTATGTAACACAGATGGCTTTTTCTCAAAAAATTAAAAACAAAACTACCATATAATCCAGCAATCCCATTTCTGGGTATTATCCAAAAGAGTTAAAATCAGAATCTGAAAGAGATACTAGCATTCCCATGTTCATTGCAACATTATTCATAATAGCCGAGATGTGGAAACAACCTAAATGTCCATTGATGGATGCAAGGATTAAAAAAAAAGTGGTATATACATACAATGGAATACTATTTAGCCTTAAAAATAAAGAAATTCTAGGGTATGTGACAACACAGATGAACCTTGAGGACATTATGCTGAGTGAAATAAGCCAGTCACGTAAAGACAGTACTGGCATGACTCCACTTACATAAGATTTCTAAAGTACTCAAATTCATGGATTCAGAGAGTGGAAAGGTGGTGAGGAGAAGGGGGAAGTGGGGAGTTAATAATCAACGGGCATAAAGTTTCAATTAAGTGATGAATAAATACTAGAGATCTGCTGTACAACATTGTAACTATAGTCACCAATAATGTACTATATGTTTAAAAATGTGTTAGGAGAGTAGATCTCATGTTAAAATTTCTTAACCACAATAAAATAAAATTTAAAAAAATACTATATTTTGACTATAAATTTTTATTTTTTTATTGAAGGATAGTCGATTTACAGTGTTATGTTAATTCTAGAGTACAGCATAGTGGCTCAGTTATACATATATTTATTCCTTTTCATATTGTTTTTCATTATAGGCTATTACAAGGTACTGAATATAGTTCCCTGTGCTGTACCTTGGACCTTGAGTTGGGTACAAATTTTTAAAATGATAATACTCAGTATTGGCATGCTCATACAGCTAGTGGGAGAAAAAAGTGTTCTTTTTTTCCCCCAGGTTTATCGAGGTATAATTATTTGTACTAAAAGTCACCCTTTGCAGTGTACAGTTCTGTGATTTCTGACATATGGTTATGAACCAGCCACCACAGTCAAGATAGAGAATTACTGTAAAAAACTCCGTCATCCCTCTTTATAGTCATTCCGCACCTCAGCCCGTGGCAACCAGTGATCTGTTTCTTTTGTGGTTTTGCCTTTTTTCAGGGTGTCATGTAAAGGAATAATACTGTATGTAGCCTTTGAGTCTATTTTTTTCCACTTAACAATACTTCTGAGATTCATCCATGTTGCTTTATCAGCAGTAAAAGCTAAGGACTGTTGTGTAAGAGGGGTGTACCAGTTTATCCACTCATCAGTTGAAGGACCTTGGAATGTTTCCAGTTTGGGGCGATTATGAGTAAAGTCACTATAAACAAACACATACAGGGTTTTTTTGTGTGAACTTGTTTTCATTTCTCTTGGGTAAGTACCTAGAGAGGGATTGCTAAGTTGTAATAGTAAGTGCATATATATATAACTTTGTGAGAAACTGCTAAATTGTTTTGGTGTCCAAAGTGGCTGCATTGTTTTGCCTTTTCACCAGCACTGTAGGAGAGTTTCATCTCTGCTTCATCTTCTCCAGCACTTGATATCCTCAGATTTCAGTTGAATTTTTTTTTGCCATTTTATGTATGGTACAATCTTTTAAAATTCAGTTTGATAGGATGTATAATGAAAGTTAAAGTTAATCTCTCTTTACCTAGTAATTCTGCTTCAAGGAAATGACCGTAATTAAATATTGCAAAATGCAGCAAAAGATAATGTTAAACGTATTGAAGCAGAGCATTATATACTATAATTAATACTATATAATATATATCTTTATGTAATGAAAACTTGGAGAATGATTATACTAGAATGCCATGTAGTCATTCAAATATTTTTTAGGGGGTATTTTATGAATTTGGGAAAATGCTTTTGTCTATAATGTTAAATGGGAAAAAAAGGATAAGACATTGTGTATGCAGTGAGAGTTCAACTATATAAAAACTGAGAAGGCAGAATGGAATGCTGTTCACTAATAGCCCCTAATTTCTTATGGCGCATCATATTGAGAAGGGTTAGGAAATACTGGCCTGTGGAGCAAATAACCCCTGGAATCAAGTATCCTGAGTTCTGATATTTTTTTCATTAGATAGACTTACACAGCCCTGACTAATTAAATGTTAAACTTTTAATTTTAGCTACATGTCAATTATTTTATTTTAAAAATAGAACTAGCCTACGCATTTTTATACCACTGTTTATCTATAGTACCTCATTACTAGTTCAGTGCAGAGCACCAAATATGCTTGTTGAAATCAGTGCATATTTGTGGTTAAAGTAACAATAATCTAATTTTAACAATTTTTCAGGTTTTCAAGCCAATTGTTGAAAAATTTGGTTTCACATTTAATTGTGACATTAAAATGAGGTAAGTTACTTATTTCTTAGCCCTTTGACCCACAACTTATGCTAAAAATAGTGGGGAAGTTAGACCTTAGAGAACTACTATTCTGGCAACCCGCTTAAATACATGACATTTCTTGTCGGAAATTGTTGTACTTTGTGACTTAAAAACAATAAATGGGCATGAGGACTTGAAAGCAGCCTTGTAGGATGTTCGCTTGTTTCTTGGGAGAAATAGTTTCAAGGGAATTACTGTACTGAGGTACCTTCATATCTGGTGTTACGCATGCTCAGCACAGACTGAATGCTCACTCTGTGCAGACAGCCGGACTGGGCACTTCAAGGTCATAAAAGGGATTCTCTTCCACAGCGCCACCAGTTATTTTCCTAAGAAACACATTGGGCATTCAGGTTTCTACTCTGTAAGGCTTCCCTTCTGCCACATAATAACAAGGCTAGATTTCTTGGTGTGGCATCTAAGTGCTTTGCAGTCTCATTCCTAGTTACTGTTCTAGCTTCATTCTCCTCCCCTCCTTTCAGCATATCATGTATTCTAACTACATGATCACTGCCATTCCTTAATCATACTGTGTACCTTTGGACTTTCATATTTTTGTTCGTGTTTTTCTTCCCCTGCTCGTCTAAAAACTGGAAATCCTGTATTTTTTTAAAAATGAAGCTCTTGTAATTTCTTTTTGTGAGTTATCAGTGATTGTGCCTCAGATGGAATTCACATCCTTACCCCTATTGTAGTCCTTCGTACAGCCTGACTTGTGTTCTAATAGGTTATACTTGGAGCCCCGTCCTGCCAGATGGGGGCGCTCCTGTGGGTAGGAGCACTGTCTTCCTCATCTGTGTGTTCTCGGCATCCTCTGTAGAGTAAATGACACTAAATATTTGAGTTACAGTTTTATTAGCGGTTTAGCTACTAAAGGGCACCTACTGTGTGCCAGACAATGTTTTAGGCAGTGGAATATAGCAGGAGCAAAATAGACAAAGTTCCTACCATAAAGGAATTTATATTTTAGAATAGCACTGTCAAATAGAGCTTTCTGCATTGAGGGAAATGTTCCCTATCTGTCTGGTATGGTAGTCACTTGCTACATATGTCTCTTGAGCATTTGAAATGTGGCTAAAATGACTGGGGAGCTGAGTTTTAAATTTTATTAAATTTAAATAGTTACTATAGCTTGAGTCTATGAGTCTATTGGACAGCACTGATATAAAGCATTTGGAAATTTCAAACATGAAATTTGTGGTTGGATATCATTCCCATGTTATTTTATTGCAAATATTAAGCTTTTTTTTGGTCATGCAATCAGTTTATGTATTTATCATACTTTTCATAGGGGCTACTACCCAAAAGGGGGTGGTGAAGTGATTGTCCGAATGTCGCCAGTTAAACAGTTGAACCCAATAAATTTAACTGACCGTGGCTCTGTGACGAAGATATATGGAAGAGCTTTTGTTGCTGGTGTTTTGCCATTTAAAGTAAGTTATTTAGATGTTCTTAGAAGTGTATGTATGTCTTGATAAGTATTGTATCATCTAAATTTTGAAATTATTGAAAGAATTTAAATTTTTAATGAAGAGAGTAAAATATTTTCTGTGCTCTCTACTCTTGAACATTGAGTTTTTATAGGATGCTTGTTAAAGTTATTAGTTATATGTATTTGAAGACTTGAAAGCAATTGTCAAAATAATTTATTTTATTCTATTTTTCTGTCTTGCCAAAATAGGTAGCAAAAGATATGGCGGCGGCAGCCGTAAGATGCATCAGAAAGGAGATAAGGGATCTGTATGTTAACATCCAGCCTGTTCAGGAACCTAAAGACCAAGCTTTTGGCAATGGAAATGGAATCATGTGAGACAGTATTCTTTTTCCTAGACGTTGGTTGAGAGCCCTGAAGTAATTTTCCCATTTTAATTAAAAATTTGTAGTTTTTTTGTTTACATTTATAGTTTTAAGAAGACATATTTTTAAGGGCATTCCCACTTAAAACAACAATATGATGAATTATGATTATTTTATTCTGAATTTTTTTCTGAGGACAGTTTACCTTTTATTACATTATAAGAGCCTTTTTGTGTATATAGTGAACTTAAATGTTTAAGGTACTCAGACGTTAGTCTTTGAAGATGATCCTAAGAGAGAGATTTCCAGTTGCTTTTCTGTACCTCAAATGTGAGATCATTTTACAAGGAAATTTTAGATATGGCAAAGATATTTAGAAAGGAAATGTAACTAGTATATTAACCCAATTAGGAATTATTGATTTAAGTGTTATAAAAATGCTTTAATGTTTTTGAAGAATAAAAGGACCTTTTGTGGATATTTAAATTTAATTTTAATTTTATTTATTTATTTTTAGTGGGGAGGTAATTAGGTTTATCTATTTATTTCTTTCAGTGGAGGTACCCGGGATTGAACCCAGGACCTCATGCATGCTAGGCGTGCACTCTTACCAGTGAGCTGAACCCTCCTTAAATTTTAAATTATCTTTTTTCAAAGTTTCTGTTAAAGGGTTTAAAGTAAATACATTTTCTACATATAATACTATCTAAAAACTATAAAACAAAGCCAAAAATCTCTGTAGAAAGTCCTTTTCATTTAAGATAATCATGGAATATAGTCCAGTGTCTGTGTGAAATAGTACCCCTCAGTGCTGATGGCATAGCCTCTGGGAGGGCCGTTCCTCACCTGTGAGTAGAATCTAGTGTGACTTCTTGTCAGAAGTGCTAATGCCCAGGTGAAGATGGAGAATACTGATCATGCTGCTCTCTGTATGAAGAATTTCACTTTTGCAATACACTAGCCAGATCAAATTCTGCATATTTTAACAGTCACCGTTCTCCGGTGTTGCATTTGCATGTAAGTTTAGAACATTTACGGCATGGGCAGTAATATTTTTTTCCCCCTTTGTAGCATTATCGCTGAGACATCCACTGGCTGTCTGTTTGCTGGGTCGTCGCTTGGTAAACGAGGTACAGATGAATGAACGGGGTCCACTGTCCCCAGGGCTAGGGTAAAATTCTTTAATTATTGGTCACAATTAGAATGTTAGAGAATGAAGGACTACAAATTTAAAAGGACATAGTGAACTGATTCTATTTTAGAATCAATTAAATTTTCAGTCTTTCCCCCAACTTTACACTCTGAAAAATTTCAAACTTTTAGAAAAGTTGAATTGGTCAGCTAGTGGACATGCATACTGTTTTCCTAGATTCACTGGTTATGAACTTTTCAGCTACATGTTGTGTGTGTTTCTGAACCATTTCAATGTGAGTTGCAGGTACCAAGTCTCACCCCTGAGCACTGCAGCGTGTGCATCCAAGGAGCAACACCTGCGGGATCACAGTACCATTTTACACCCAGAGAATCTGTTATATTCAGACATAACCGGTTGCCTCCAGAATATGCTTTAGAGCAATGTGGTGTTTTTGTGTTTGTTTGTTTTGGTTTGGTTTTTTGCACACACACAGCATTTGGTTGTCATGTCTGTTTAGTTTGCTTTTTACCACAGAATAGTCTCTTTATAGTCTCTTTACCCTTTTTCCCTTTCATTATACTGACATTTTGAAAAATCCAGGCCATTTTCTCATGGAATTTTCCATAATTTGGATTTGTCTGATTATCTCATGATTAGATTTATTCAGGTTAAACATTTTTAGTTTGCACAGGTGATTTTTTTGTACGTTCTGCCATATCACATACATCACGGTTTACGTAACGTCAGTCTGCCTTTATCAGTAAAGCTGGCTGATCACTTGGTTAAGGTGGTGTCCTCCCGATCTTCTGCTATAAAGGTTCCTTTTCCCTATGTAATTAATAAATAATCTGGGATAATACTTTGAGACTGTCTGGTTATCCTCTATCCATACAACTTTCATCCAGTGGTTTTAGCATTTCTTGATGGTTCTTCCCTGATCAGTTATTACAATGTTGATTCCAAAATATTGAGTATTTTTGTGAAAGGTAAATTTGTTTAAGATTTGGCATATTTGGGAGAGGAGATACACGTATGCATCTGTTTGTTAATATTTAAAGTTATTCTTGCCATTGAGGCGACTTCTAGCTGAACTTCTCATTGTTTGATAGTTGTTTGCTTTATTCCTCCTTTGTAGCATCTTTAAAAGATGCTTCCCCTCGCTGTGCTGTTTACCCCCATTATTACTGCTGCATACGGGAAACTTCAGGTAATTTCAGTCTGCTCAGTTGGCAGATCTAGATCCTGGTTGGGTATCAGCTCTAACCAGCATAATAGAATAGATAAAATTAGCATCTCCGTTTGACCCGACATAAGTGAATTCTGTTTAAACGTGTGCTGTTTAAAGTGTGGTTGGTGGACAGGCAGCCTGTTGGCATCATCGGGGAGTGTGCTAGGAACACCAGTTCTGGGGCCCCCCTCATAGTGTATCAGATTAGAATTTTGGGCATTGGGGCCCAGGAATCTGTTTGAACGAGCTCTCCAGGTACTTCTAAGGTATAATAAAGTTTGAGAAATAATGATCAAAGGTACATATTTAGTGTATGCTCATCACTTGTTAGCTGCAGTGAGGAGTCAACATGAATAGTGAGCCACTGCATGCAGTGCCTTCAGCAGTCTCGAGAGGGCAAAGACAACACAAAATATAAAGCAGAGCCTAGAGCCTGTATGTTACAAGTAATAAGTGCTTGGCCGGCATTGGGTGGTATGTGAGGTCAGTTTGTATTATCATTGGGTTCCAAGATGTGCCAGGTACTGTGTTTGAAGGGTTTGGAAATGAGAGCTACCGTTTCTGCCTCCTGGCTTCATCTGGCAGAGGAGACAGCTCAGTGCTGTGATTGTGGTGTCCCAGGCACCATAGGAGCACAGGAGAACAGCTAATTCTCTGGGGGCTGATCGACCCCAAATCTGTCTTGTGCCGTTGAGTGACCCTCCAGTGGATTGCGCAGATAAGTAGAAGTTAGCCAGATAGAAAAGTGAGAGCTAAGGAGGAAGGACAAAGGGAAGCGCTGACATGAAATTGTAGTTCTGTGTTTGGGCAACTATAGCCATAAATGATGAGTACAGGATCTGGGTGGGAGAGAGGAGAGAATGAGGTTTGAGGCTTCGACAGATTTTAAAGGGCTTTAGAGGCCTTATAAAGGAGTTTGAAAAACATGAAGATTTTAAGGAACGATGTAACATCAGATCTTCGGAAGTAAGTCTGCTAGCTGTGTAGAGGATTAGAGGAAAACCGTAGTGGAGGCAGGAAGACAAGAGTCTTACAGCAGTTCAGGTCAGAAGTGGTGAGGGCCCACACCAAGGGTGCAGTGACGGAGGCTCGGAGGTGAGTGCCGACATGGGGGTGCTTAGGACAGCGAATAGACAGTGTGGTGATCAGTTGGATATGGGAGGTGAGGGAGGCAAGGTGAAGAATGACCTTGGTTTCCAGCTTGGATAACTGGAAACATTTACAACTTGTGCACATTGGAGGTAGTTAGTTTGCCAGGGTAGATGACAGTTTTAGATCTGTTGCATTGACATCATAAAGTAACCATTTCTCTGTTACCAGCAATACTTGGAAATAACTATTGCCAGCCCTGAAAAACTTTTTTTTCTAATATTCCATCAACTTTTCTTCCCTTTGTCACATGAGACAGTTTTTTCTTTGAAGTTGTCTTTGGACAACAGGCATGTAGAGTGCACAGTACTTCTTTTTAGACGCACAGTTGTGGGAGGGAATAGAAGATAGAGCAACGTTCCTTTCAGGTTGCCTGACTCCTTCTGGTGCCCGTCCTTATTTCCTGTTAGGCACTTAAGTCAAAGGTGATGCCATTAGCAAATGCAAAGACACCTTGTGGTCTTCTCTCTTGGTCTGGGTAGTATAATATGTTTAGGATCTGACAATGTCGTGGTTCCCATTGTCTAGAGCCTCTTTCATTTCTGATTTAAATTACCTAGAAAATTACTAGACTCTGTATCCTAATGTTTAAGTGTTCTTATCAGAAGCAACATTGGCTGGTTGTCCATGCCACTGTATGTGGTAGAAGCAGTACGTTCTAACTAGTCGTGTTCTTTGTCATTGTCTCAGTTACTAAAACTGTTTTTCTTACCGAACTGCAGGTCTGGCTGCTTGCTGCTTGAAAGCCAGTACAAAGAGAGGCACATGTTGGTAGAAAGGAAAGTTTGTTTTATTCTGGAGGCAGACAACCAGAGTCGGGCAGGGCAGACTCCTGTCCAAAGGCCCACCCTCCCCTCCCTCAGCCGGTCAGTGGGCAAAGCTTTTAAAGAGGGGTTTCAGGGGGGTGCAGGCGGAGGGAGGGGGCTACGCACAGAACAGCGCAGTCAGCTCTGACCGTCAGCTTGAAGTCAGTCATATGCGGTCTGACCAGCATCATCGTGGTTGTTGTCAGTGCAGTTAGTCTTCAGCTCGGGGTGAGTGTGTTCCCATTTCTCTGAGGCCAGTTCTGCTTCCGTCGTGGCTCAGTCGGTCGTCACGCAGGTCACTTCTTCCACCTGGCGGGGGTTTCAGCGTCTACAGGGCAGCTCGAAGGACACGGCTCAGAATATTATCTGTAGGCCGTGAGGAGGAAATACAGGTTGTTGACTTTGTTTAATGACTAAACTATTATTTTGTTTTGTTGGCTGTTTCCCTTTGTTTCTGTATTTTCTTATTTCTCTGATTAAACTTACTCTTTGACTAAAGTTTTTCTACAGACAAGAGGCGGGCAGAGGACATGGGGGAGGGGTGTCTGTCCTGGGAAGGCCAGTTGGGGTCCTGCTCCATTTCATTTTGATTTTAGTTTCCTTATCTATTGAGTGAGAGAATTAGCCTGAATAATCTCTGAAAAACTTCCAGCAATAACATTCTTTGATGCTGTTACAAAGGTGAGGTTTTGTTTTATTGGAGAGGATCTTGCAGTTTTGGATGAGGGCAACGTACTGTGACAGAGAGCACTTACCTGAGAGCGAGAAGACCTAAGGTTTGGTCCTGTTTCTGCCGTTATCTTGCACGGGGACGCTGGGCTTTCCTTATCTGAAAAGTGAGATTGGGCCGTGATCTGTGTGTAAGAATCCCTTCCAACTTTGTATGATTGGAGTGTGGACGGAATGCATTTTATCTTTATGCTGTTGAATATCTGTGTATTTGTTGATTACTCTTGTCTTTCACTTAGTTTTGTTCTTTACTGTGAGACAAATCAGTCTGCTGAGATGAATGATGCCTCTGGCTTTTCAGTTCTGTTTCCTGTGTGGAAACTGCCTATAGGAAGCACTTCCTACCCTCCTTCAGAATATGTGGTAATTCATGGCCTCTCTCTCATGCCCTAATCAGCCCTTTGGCTTTCTCTGTTCAGTCTGATAACTATTTTATGGTTTTGTCCTTTTAATAAGCTAGAAGAAACCCCAAATCATTGAATATTCATTTTAATTTGTTACATTATAAACCATTGAGACCATTTTAAGAAATACCAGAAAATTATTTGTCAGTTAGAAAAGAAGTAAGTTTCCAGAAAAAATTAGGATTTTGCTTTTTTGTTTGGAACTAACACTAATAAGAAAGATTTCCCACGTTCACTTCATTTTGTACAGTAGCTGCAGAGCACTAGCAATAGCTGGTAACGGTGCAACGTAAATCCATCCATACCGTTACGAATGGCGCCACCACACCACTGTCAGGGCGGCTGGGGAGGAGGGAATGTGGATGCTCTGAGAGAGATCCTGCCACTTGGCGGAGAAACCTCAGTGCACCTGCTGCTCTCTAACACTGCGCAGCCAGGACTCCTGCCTTGTCCTTCGTGTCCTCTGTGCATATTTGACTTCAAGGACTCACTCGAGTCCTTTGTGCTCTGTGAAACCTTCTCAAGTTATTCGAGAGCCTATGATCTGTTCCTTTTCTGAGCTCTCACTGGGTACACAGTTTCTACCATAGAGCTTTGGCACTTCCTCATATGTCAGAGAGTTAGAGGATAAGTATTTTTTATGTCTCCTTATCAAAGGCACCAGTTTCTATCACTTAGTATGGTACACACACAGTAGGTGCTCATTATTAACTGTTCTTATTAACAGCTTATTATGAACTAGTCTTGGTTATGGAAGCTTTATAAATATTATCTGTAACTTTTAACAACTTTGCAACTTAGGTATTGTCATCTCCATCTAGAAGAGTCAAAGTAGCTTCCCAAGAAGTCAACATTCATAAATGTTCCAAACCATTTCATCCAGTCATGTAAACACTTGACTAATTGATATTGTGAAGATAGAAAATTTATTATATTATTATAAATGCAATAAAGGAAAAAATAGTTAAAATTTGATTTCTACTTTGCTGGGAAATTTTATCAAAGCATATGTATGGTCAAATGAATTTCCAAACATAAAATAAAATAAAAATTAATCACATTCTTATTTTTAAAAAGACACTTTCATTTATAGCCAAGGGTTCATTTAGTTTAAAGTGAATAAAAGAATTACTTGACATTCCACTACTACTTCTGATGGACTTATTTTGTATTCAGCATTGTACCAAATATTTACAGTGTGTGTGGAGAAGCAGGGAGTAGAACATGGGGATAGATATTCTGACTTATTTTCAAAATAAAATAATATTTGTTCAAATTTTAAAGGAATACAACTTTTTAATATGTGATCTGAGAATTTTTATCTGCTCTTCCTTGGATGAAAATGTATTCTCTTGACTTTTAAAAAAATCCTGTAACTCTAATGGAATTCCCTGCAGACTAATTGTAACATATGAATTGCAAATTTAAAATTTTGAAATCGAGGCATAGTATTATAGGGTCATAACTTAGTTATAAATTGATTTTATAATTAGTACTTCTTAAGTAGGACCAAAGCAGCCTGTTTTTTTCCTCCCACTGGTACCTTTAATAAAGTATCTGCATATGCTAAACTCTCAGAAGATTAAATATACATAAAGATCTTCTCCCCAAAGTTGCACTGGATGAATTCAGAGCCTGAAAGATGTTATGCCAGTGCTGACTGGGGTATATTAAACTTTTTGCTTCTTAGTAATTAATTGTGTGTTTTTTACATTGTGCCTGTTTTAGGTGTTAATGCAGACAGGGTTGGAATTGAAGCTGCTGAAATGCTATTATCAAACCTCAGACATGGTGGTGCTGTGGATGAGTATCTGCAAGACCAGGTAGTGACACTTTCAGAATAAAAGCCTTCAAGCCTATTAGATTTCAATGTTGGGCCGTTAGATTGAATATAAATTTTAGTCACTGACTTTCAGACACTGATTGGTATGTCCTTATTCAGTCCACTTATGAAGTATTATCCTGGAATTTATATACCTCAACTTTCAGTTCTCACCTTACGTGACCTGGCTGTAGCATTTGGCACAATTGAGCACTCTCCTTCTTGAAATACTTTCTTCACTTGATTTCTGAAATACTGTTATCTTTCTGCCTCACTGGCCGTGCATTCTAGTCTCTGTGCTAGTTTGTTGTTTGCATCTTCTCAACTTAAAGTTTTGGAGAGCCCTTGGGCTTAGGCTCACACGTCTTTCGTTTATCTGTATTGAGTCCCTCAGTTATTTTGTCCAGTCTCGTGGCTTACGTATCTGTACCTGTCTGTATGCTGACAGCTCCTAAATTTACATCGCTAGCCCAGACCTTTCTCCTTAACTCCACTTACTTACATGCCTTATGCTTGACAACATCTCCACTTGGATGTGTCAGAGACCTCTCAAACTTAACTAGTGAATATTTCCAAATATAGTCTTTTTATGGTCACTGTCTTGGTAGAGTTTCCTTTCTATCATGCGTTTTCTTCCTTAATCTCTAATTAGCAATCTATGTTTTGAAATGTATTTTTCAAGATTTCTTGACCAGTTTATCTTAAGACAGTTTCCCTTATTTCTAGTCTCTTCCTTCTTACTACTCTGTACTTGAGTAATTCTGTATTAGTGTATTTATTTACCTGTTAAAGTGTGGTTTTAGAGCATGGAAGAAGCTTGTCACATTATATATACCAGCTTGCAAAGACAGTTGGTCTGATTAAATAAAGTATCTTTCAACTCTATATTTTATTCTTAACCATTAATTTTTAAAAATCTGTATTGAGAACTGCTACTAAGCATTTCTGTGCTACACCACAGACTTTTGGTAACACGGTTTTTTGTTTTTTTTTTTATCATCTTTAGGACTTCTGGAAACCTAAAGAAATAGACTTTTTTTTTTTTTTAGCTATTTTGATTTTTAGTAGTATTTTCATATGGAAAGCAGTAGCATTTTAACCCCAAATATTAGTAAATGTGTGAGATTTTTCTTCTTTGTTCTTTTTTCAATAGCTGATTATCTTCATGGCATTAGCCAGTGGAATTTCCAAAATAAAAACAGGACCAGTTACACTCCATACACAAACGGCTATACATTTTGCTGAACAATTAGCGAAGGTGAGTATTCCATCAGAAAGAATAATTGATTTTTATTATGGCCAATTTGGGGTCAAATTTTAATAATCAGAAAACCTAATAGTAATCATAAATTAAATTAATTGCTCAAGACCAGGTAGTTTCTTGGTAGCAGGACTGTGCTTTAAGCAGAGCCAGGAGATCATACATCAAAGCCCCTGTGTGGTGGGTGCTGCCTTATAGTAAGTGAAGGTATTTTAATGAGAACTATGAAGTCAAATCAGAAGGGGTTTATAGTTGGCTATAAATGTAAATTATTTATATAACATTTTAAATGTTTTATTTTCTTGTGATTCTACTGAGGTTTGCTAAAATTTTAACATTTACCAGCTCTCTTAATTTTAGAAGAGCAATTTACAATTTTTAGTGAAAAAGGATTTAACACTGAATAAGCTCATATTTATACCTTTTCTACGGGATTCTTAACTTAAAAAAAAATTGAGATGAGGAGGGTTAAATATAGGTAGAGTGCAGTGCCTAGCGTGCACAAGGTCCTGGGTTCAATCCCCAGTACCTCCATTATAAAAAATAATACATAAATAAACCAAATTACCTCCCCCCCCAAAAAAAAAGGTTGACATGTGTATTTTATCTGAGACTAATTTCTTTATAGAAAATCTGGAAAGTAGAGGAAGGAACCTGCCCATAACCCCCCCTTGCCAGTAAAACCACTTTGACATTTGGGTATTTTCCTCCTCTTTTTTTTTTTTTTTTTGTCCTTTTACATTGTTTTGTTAACAAATAACCAAATAACTCAGGAGAAAAAACAAAAGAATTTAGATGTTCTCATGAAATACATTTCAATAATACATAGAAATTTAATAACTGCAGTATACTCTCAACATTAAAAAGAGATTCTAATTTTAAAATTAGTCATAATGAAGTTGTTTACAGTAATTAAGATTACTATGAGATTAAGATTGAGTAATCTGTGTGTAAAATATAGAAGGAGATGTATTGAAGGATATTAGAAGTCAGACTATGGTCCTATTCATGTATGCTGCCAGACACTTGCTGTAATGAGTCCAATTTGATATTTGAGACTACATTGTTGTCAATTTTCACTGTGCTTGGTGACAGGAACTCTAAAAATAACCAGAACCACTATGCTGTTAAAATGCAAGTTTGTGAAAAAAGCATATTTGCTTTTATTTGTGTGTCATATTACCTTTCTTTCTTTAAATTTTCTTGATTAAAAAAAATTATAATGGTTTAATTCAAACAATTACAATGTGAAGTTTATATGCCCAAATACATGACAAAAACAGCACAAGGGACAGGAGGAGAAAAATACTCCCAGTTTCTTACACTGCATGTGATTTGTACATTATTTGAAAGTAGACAGTAGACAGTTAAAATGCAAAACTTAAAACTATAGAAGTTTTAGGATTAAAGATAGAACAAAATATTTATGACCTAGGTTTCCTCCTCTCTTGAAATTGTTTCTCTTTGCATTTTTTACTTTATGCATGCAGCTTCATTTCTTGCTTTTTTCAGCCACATGTAGCATATTTCCATTTTGCTCTAGTCTTCATAATGCAATTTTGTAAAATAATATAAAATTTATAACTCAGAATTTTATGAAGGAAGGTGCTGACCTTAAGCATTTTAAAAAATTATAAAAATAATGCACAGGAGTAATAAAAAATTAAGCATTACAGAAGTATACCAGGCACAAAGCCACTGTTGCCCTACTCCTAACGTTTTATTTGTATGATTCTTAATAATGTATTCCATTTTTTGTTATTAGAAAGCGTAGATAGATTTTGGTTAAATGTGGGGCAAGGCTTCATAGGAGGGGAAGGCAGATGATATTTGACGTCAGGATACTTGCCTGTATTTTTTGTTATTCTCCTTACGCCGTATTTTGTGGCTCTTATTTGCCTGTCTCCCCACGTAGACTGCCCTCCTTGACAGCAGGGACAAGGTTGTATTCATTGTAGTTTTCACTTTCGGCAGCACTATGCGTGTCGTAGACACTCGCATGTTATTTGAAGTGAATACACAGTGGAAAGTGCTGTAAACCGGAATTTTTAGCTCTGGTTTCTTGTTCAGCTTTGTTGTGTTTTAACTCAGTAACTTGGGGTGCAAGCTGCTTCGTCATTCTGTGTTTCAGTGCGGATCATTCATCAGTAAATTGGGAGACGGTGCTGTAGTCCCTACGGCTCATTTCAGCTCTACCTTTTTCTCATGTTCCTTAGGTTTATGCATAGGCTAGAAATGATTTTCATAACTGTTACCTGTGTTTCATATTTATATCGTGCTTATAATTGGAAAAGGTATGTATATATACATAAAAGTATGTAAATTTTTTGGCTAGCTAGCTTAGAATTCAGATTTAGTGTTTATTCATTCAGCAATAATTTGCAGTGTCCACTGTGTGTCAACACGCTGCCACGATACTGAAACTGGAATAATTTGTAAATATTACGTTCAAAAGGGCCTCAGAGTGCTGGTTTTGTTTCAAAGAATCCTAAGATTTTAAGCATACCTTTGTCACAGATTCAGTCAACCTGCTCAGTTGTTTTGATTTTAATCAGTTTTCTTAGAATGAATACATTTGCTTTTTTAAAAAAATCATGTTTTCACAATACAGTGATAGAGATCAAATATTTCAAAGCTAAACTTGAATTAGTTAACAAATGGAAAATACAAGGTTAAGCCCAATAAAGATGAAGGAATATTTTTAACTGTCACCTCCCCTTGCCTTCCTGCTCTGAACTAGATCTTTTAAATAGTATATTTAGGGAATTAAATTGGCAGGGAAATTAAAGTAATTTGATACTTGACAAGATAAAAGAAGTATAAATGCTTCAGTGCCATGCTTTAGAAAAGTTGTAGGAAGTAGGTAGTGGAGATGCGTTATCATTAACAACTGGGATTTTTAAATTGATATTTGCTTAAGCTGCACTGCTGGGGGTTTCTGATTCACTAGGTACAGAGTGGGGCTCAGGCTGTATATTCTGACAAAACCCACAGGTATGTGTATCTCTGAACAAGAAACATGCTTCTGGAACAAAATGTTTTATATCTAGGCTGTTGAATTTCTCATGAGTCATTTGATCTTTGTATCTCTAGCTTCAATAAAATGAGTTTGATATTAACTACCTGCCTATGTGAGCTGAAGTTATGGGCTCTTCCCTCTGTCCCTCCTATGTTACTTACATACCAAATGGCCTTCTGGTTTCAGGCTAAATTTACTGTGAAGAAATCAGAAGACGAAGAAGATGCCTCTAAAGACACTTACATTATTGAATGCCAAGGAATTGGGATGACAAATCCAAACCTATAGGGTATTTGCCTTCTAAATGATACCTCAGTGATGTATTGCACTAATTCTCTTCATAAATACTGTAAAACAATAAGTAGTAACTTATTAAAGGACCTGACTTAAATTTGGAGATGAAGTACAGAATGTTCAGAGAAATCTCACTTTGACCGTATCTCCTGAGATACATACGGACAGTGAAATTTAAGAGTTGGTGAATATGTATGAGAGCTAATTTCAGTATTATTGAAGTATTGAAATAAAATAATCTTTTCACCTGAAGTGTGTTTTTCTTTTTGATACAGTGTTTTAAGGTAGGGATGTAGATTTGATCTGTAGTTTGTGTATAATTTTAATCACTTCACTGAAATCTCATGTAGAATATAATGAGTCAACTTTATGCACATGCGCTTGCTCTGTCAGCAGTAACATTTAATAAGCGTCTCATTCTAATTACATGTCTTCTTTTTAGTGGGCACTTGGTAAATACTGATTTTGAATCTGTTGAATATGTTGTGAAAGCTAAACAATGAGAATTGCAAAATATCAACCCTAGTAGATTTGGCCAAATCAGCCCCAGGTATGTTTTTGTTTGGCTTATAGTATTAAAAAAGAACAGAATGTGCTTTTCATTACTCTCAGTTATCTTATATCTAGCCTGCTCCCGCATTTAGATTACTTTCTGGTCCCTGTGGGCAGCTGCGGTTGTGACTCAAATGAAACTGGTTTGCTACACCAGCTAAATACGCCATGTTGTAATATAGTGAGGAATTTACTAAAACTTAGTTCTGTCTTGGACCTTATCTGGTGATGATTAAAACATAGTTCAAGATACAGATCCAGAGGATGGTATTATAAAACATTCAGCAAGTGCAGAATTAACTTGTATAAAACAGTATAAAGAAAAAAAATGACTCCATATACATAACTGTAATTCTTGTCGGTGATTTCTGTGACCTTGAACAGTTGGGTTCAGTTTGTTTTAAAGATGATGATGGTAGTATTGCTTGCTATTTTCATTTTCGGGAAGTAAATTTTGTAAGTTCATTTCTATAACAAATAAGATATGAAATACCTTTTTATTTGAGAGTAAAACTACACTTCTAGTATAGTTGTTGGAGGGGTTGTGATAAATTTGGGGGGCTTAAGACTAATGTGGTACCTACTGTTTCTGACACGGTGTGCAGCAGTGTTACAGAGGTAGGTTGGAATACAGAGACTGGGAATTTTGGAGCGAGAGATTTAAGGTCAACAGCGTACAGGATGAGTTTATTATTAATCTTGGCTTGGGTGTGTCACTATTGTTGAGTCTCAGCTTGGTCAAAATAAAGGTGAGACTACCACAAAGAAATTTTTGTTAATTCCTGGAAGATACTTATTTTTCCAAGCAAAATTATATTTCTGTTCCTACTTCTGTATCTCAAATTGTTATTTCAGTATGCTTTTTTCTTCATTTCTTAATGATCACCTAATGCAAGTAATTCTGTTGATTTTATACTATGCATGCAATGGTCTTTAAGAATATTCTTTAACCAGTGGCTTTCAGACAGTATTCATACCACTTGAGTTTCACAAATCCTTCCCTTGTATTTCAAGTTGCAGATGTCAGTAGTTTTAAAGAATTTGTTTCCAGATTTCTCTACTTAAACAGGTACTTCCAAAATAGAGTTGTCTGCTATCAAGGTAGGACTTTGCAGATTCTCCTTTTTAGCTTCTCTTTCACAATCTCCATTTTCCCTCTTTACAAAGAAAATGTATTCTTTACCCAGTCTAATTTTACTATGGTGCAATCCCTCAGAGTATAAAAAAAATCTCAAAAGGCACCAAATACAGGGACAATTTGAAATACTAGTTTCTGAAAAGCCTACTCAAACTAAGACATAAGCCTGCATCTTATTTTATATATTCGCATGCTTTTAAGTAAAGAGAGAAAAGCTTTCCTATTTACTTTCCACAGATCAACATTACATCTTTAAACAAAACTTATTTTCTGATTACCAGGGGAAGTATTTTCGGTAGCTTTGCCAAAAGGCTACTAGGAAGTTTAAACCCCCCTTTTTTTTTTTAATTTTTGGAGAGTGCTACATAGTAAGATGAATTATGAATTATAAATTCTTTGCTTTCTACTCATCTTTACCAGGTGGAATGCGTTATAGCTCCTATAATCTATATTATTAATGTTCTGTAAATAATACACCAAATAATTTCTGTTTTTAAGCCCCGTACTTGATAACCTTTTTGTTATTTTCATTGAACTCCATCTCATCCCAGTAGCTAACAATATTTGTCCACAGATACATGATCTAATTTTTTAAAAAAGTGCATCAAATTGAGATATATTTCTGTAAATTTTATACTTATACTTAGTAATATTTCAAAGAATATATTTGTTATGCCCATTGCATAATGATGCTCATTGTGGTTAAGCCACAAGAAATTTAGAAAATTTTTAAGAGTCTTCACTGAAAATTTAAAAACTTAAATTAATCTACATATTTTTATTGCAGAGAAATGACAAGGTGAACTTTTAAGCATTAAAAATATGACAAAATTATAGGTAAAGTGGAATATATTCTTTTAATGGAGATGGTGGATATCAAACAGCTATGGTTTTTAGAGTCTAGTGGATAAATTTGAGAGTGTTGGAATAGTTTTATTTTAAAATGACAATATTTATGACATTGAAGTTAGATCCTTTGCTAGAACTATTGAAACTTCTGATGAAAATTTTTGAATCACACATCTGTTTAAACAGTATTTTCGCGTGTGCCTGTGAGGGTATTTCTGGGAGAGACGGGCATCCGAATTGGTGAGCTGAGTAAAGCAGATTGCCCTCCCCAGCGTGGGTGGGCCTCATGTGATCCTTGGAGGGCCTGAGGAGGCAGAGGGAAGTTGAATTTGCGCTTTGCCTGGTTGCTGGGGCTGTCGGGACATCAGTCTTCCTGCCCTCCGTGCTCCAGTTTCCCAGGCCGTCAGACTCAGACTGGAATCAACACCACTGGCTCTCTGGCTCTCGGGCCTTTGAACAACACTTCCGGCCTCGCTGGGTCCCCAGTTTGCAGACACGGGACGTCGCAGGCTCCACAATCACGTGAGCCGATACCTTGTAAGTCTCTCTTTGTATGTGTATGTAGGTCTCTCTCTCTTTCTCCTATTGATTCTGTCTCTGGAGACCAGACTAACACAAGTGATGTTATCAGAACTACAACTCTGTAGGAGGGGCTCTCTGGGACTGATGGTCATAACTCTCAAGAAGCGGTACTTTTGAGAGAGCGTTGCAGTTGGTGCTCTTAAAGGAGGGGGAGTGCAACCTGGCAGGTGCTTGGATGGTTCAGGTGGCGTGGCCCGGCCGGTGAGGGAGCGCAGTGGAACTAACATCCGTGCTTCAAGGAGGCACGGCAGGGCACGTGGCAGGGCAGCTGAAAGAAGCGTGGAACCACAGCTGGCGGGAGCCGCTGCTGGAGCAGTCCTGTCAGGAACTGGAAACAGGAAGAGCCCTTTCTCTTGCCTCTTTCCAAGCTCCACCTCCCCCTTCCCTTTCGCAGAATCTTACCAGAAGCCACTTAGCAAGGGAGTCTGGAAATTACAGTTTACACACCCAAACATGAACAGAATTTTGAAAGGTGTGCTTGGAGCTGAGGGACAGGGAATAACCAGCAGAGTCTATTGTTTTGGTCTTTCAGCATCCATTTATGTTTCTGTCTTAATAACAGTAACATCATTTGCTTTTGCTTGAGAAGGTACAACTATCCTTTTTACAAACAAAGGTATTTCCATCCTCTTCCTCAAAAGAGTGGCCCAACAGCCACCTAAACCATCTCTGGGTAATGTTATTGTCTGTTTTACCCAATCCCAACGAAATAAATATGTAACATACAAACCAAATTATAAAGTTAATCACCAATATCAGTCCTTATATAAAATAAAGAGGAACAATGAAAGGGAAGGGAAAAATAAGTAAATATATATCAGTATATACTTAACAAGCAAGGAAAAAAATTTGCCACCTGCTGCAGTCCTCATGTGTCCTCATGTCTGCTATAAATTCTGTTTCCTTTACCCTCAGCTGGCAGCACAGCCAGTCACGGTTCTTTTCCTGGTGGAGGTAATCCAAACTTTCACTCCCAAAGGGTCTAAATCTTGGTAGTCTGTCTTTTTTTTTTTTTAACATGGAGAAATAAAATACTTTATTTCTAATATCTAAAAACAGCATTCTAATATAACATTATTTCAGGAGGTAAGCCCGTGTACACTTTTCCATATTTTTATATCGTCGTATAATTTAAAACCAGTGGAAAATTCCTGAATAGCCTAAATCTATTATTCGTGTTGTCTTTAATGTGTTGGTACAGTTCTGCCTTAAGTTGTACTATCAGATTTGAAAGCACTCAGAGAATGCCTTGGGCTCCAGACTTAATCCTCCCGAGCTCCATTGTTACAGCAGCCACTCAATTTACCCTTAGTAATTGGGAGCAATCGCCCCAGGAAAAACAATGATCCCTTCTTTGTTATTTCAATAGCTTGAGCAGCTCCGTGTAGCCATTGGAAATCTAGTCTTCCAGTTCATTGGAGCCATTGTCCTGACGTCTGGTGGAAGCATTCTGTCTTTGGGAATTAAAACCTCTAAGCCAACAGCAATCAAACTTGCAAGGAAGGGAAACAATTTGGGGGGGTTGTAATTAACTGTGGTAGTGGAGGAGCCACTACCACTTCTACCCCTTAATCCATGCATTCTGGCCACCCAAGAAAAGAGTGCCCTGTGTTAGTTTCTGATCCCAAGGATCACCCACGTCCTGTAGGATAGTGCCCTGACCTTTCAGTGCATTGCTCCCAATTCAAGAGGCTGTTTTATCCGCTCTGCTGCTTCGAAGGGATGTCCTACCTGGCAAACCGGTACCCTCAGCGGTATGAGCTCAGTGGCACTTTTCTAGCTGACAAATGAGTTCTAGGTCAGAAGCAGTATGGTATAGAACAACCCGTAAGTCCACAGATAGTCATTGTATTTATCTGTTGTTGCACTACAGATTGCTTCAGAATTTAGCAGCTTAAAACAACACATATTTATTATTTCATGATTTCTGTTGGTCAGGGATATAGGACCAGTTTAGCTGGGTGGTTCTGGCTTATGGCATCTCCTGAGGTTGCAAATCAAGCCAAGCCACTGGGTGGAGCTCTAGTCATCTCAAGACTTGAATGGGGTTGAGGGATCCACTTCTAACCTCATTTTCAGTTGTTGGCAGGTTTCATTCAGTTCCTCCCAGACTGATAGGCCGTAGGCCCTT